GTAATATACAATACATAATCTTATAAAACTAGATAAAAGAATATATACTTTGTAAAACACGTTAGTATTATGCCCTTTGAAGGCCCAACTTAAAAATGACGTATGTCGTAGAAACATAATTTGCATATAAAAGTTTATATATCAAATAATAGTTAATTATCAGTACTTTAACGTGATATACTTAAAATTATAAAACAACGTTGCTTCTTCGACTTTTTAACCCTTAAATAATGGTAAAATTTTAAATTAAATTGTCCCCAGCGCCCCCTGTATGGTAAAATCTAAAAAACTACATTTTATCTTAATTTCAAATCGATACGTTTTTAAATAAAAATGTTATTACAAAATATCGAAATTTATCTATTTTTAACACAGTAGAGTGGCTTAAGGCTTAAAACCCACGGTGGTCAATGGATAAAAATTTTTTTTTGAAAAAAATGCTCCATTTAGATGTAGAAACAAGGTTAAAAAAATATATTCAATTCTGGCATCACTTGCAAACAAATGTCCAAAATTTGTTCGATTTTTACGCGAAACCATACTTGTTCTATTGGAAATAGCCTTAGTTTTGAGGTACAGTTGTGGACTTTTCTTATGTTTTTTGTTAATATCTAAAAAACTATATTATATTTGAAACCAACCAGTTTTACTAACTTAAATATTTTTTGAAATACACAAATTTAACTACCTACATGGTAAAAAACTTGACTTTAAGTAAAGAGATTTTTGAACTGTTTTAGTAAAATTGCGTGTAATGTCAACAACCTAGGTATTATGTTTATTCGCAATTTGTATTAAGATCGCGTTGGAGGTTTATACAGTTTTCGTTAAAAATATTGACCTTGGGTGCGTCCTCTTAAAATTACGAGGAGCAAGTTTAACCGGTAAGCTAAACGTTTATAAAATTGTTTAATGGGTAAACTTTTAGAACCTTTTTTTCGTGTTTGTGTTAACACATTGTTAACAATTGTTTTAATGCTATTCTTTGAATTGTTTTAATCTTGAGATACGGGAAATATGTTGTTTTATATCTGATCAGTTTTTCACAAAAATATTCGTTGTCTGGAAATTTACCCCATTAAATATTTGGGTAGATAAATAATTGGTAAAAAATGTATTTATTTCCGTATTCCAGTAAAATTCAATCATTTAAATTGGTTAAAACACTGGTTACATTATTTAAACAAATTTTTTGAAATAACCAAAATACAATTAAAAATCACAGTGAATAATGAAGTCGATCATCAATGATTTCTTAGTATTCCTGCGACTTTAAAAAGTGAGGTTAGAATCGTCTGAGATATTATTTATTTATATTTAAAAATTATTTAATGTTTGTGTTCGTATTTATAAACTTCTTTAGACACTCGTTTATTAAATACTCGCCACGCAAGCTAGCTCGTGCCTAATTTAAAGTCGTGACCAAACTTGTTACATTATATGATATTTTTACAAAACATAACCTTTTTTGTAATATATTTTTCAAAACCTTTTCATACAAAAAATCTTTTAAAATTGGCTGTAACTATTTGTTACTTTTACTTTGTAAATATAAACATTAATAATCACAAGACTAAAGATAAATAAATCTATTGTTTTTATCGACAAATGCAGTTGTTTATAACCCACATTGATAAATATTTTTCCAACAAAGGATGTGCATATATTATCAGTAATTATAAAAATAGACGCAAAAAATATAATAAAACCTTGACGGACAAGGCCATTTTTGGGACACACTGTATAATTTAAAATTTCGGGCCTAACTAGGATACAGTACAAATTAATAAAATTTTTGTAATATAAACTTTTTTTGTTTTAAATAAACAGGTACTTGACTTTGAGTCAAGTATTTCTTTTTGAGAAAAATAAAGTATAGGCTTGTCTTCAATATTGTACACTCCTTAAAACATGGTAATTTAAACCAATTTTCTGTATAATTTTTACCAAATTATACAGTACCCAACTCAAAAATTATGACAATAAAAAATTTGTCTTCAGGCTATATTCTACCTAAGGTTTTTCTTTTGTATTCAATGCCAAAGAATATGTAATTTAAGTTTTGTTTTGTGGTAGGAACAAATTTTATTTTTCATCTTCAGGCAAGTTTAAATTTTAACAAAATTGGATATAATTGTGAAAAACTTTTACTAACAGAAATTTAAAATTAACTTAGATCACAAAATTTGTATCCATGTAATAACATAATATATTTCAATTAATTATTATTAATAAGTTTACCGTTATGTTTGATATTAATTACATATATTTTCACCTTGAAATTAAATGTTTATTAAGGATCTTCTCTATATATTTTTATATTTTAAAATAATTATTTAAAATTTTACTTTACTACATACTCATAATTTATTAGACATAATTACAAGATGGCTAGGTGTGGTGGTAATAGCATAAGTCCCTTGTGCAATTAGCAATATTGTATAAACTATTTCGTAATTAGAAATAATTATCTAGACAGTGTTGCCAGATTGCACGACCAAGTACATGAATTATTCTTGAAATGAAGTGACAATTCTAACGATATTTGACATCAAAATTAAATTGACTTGTTTTTGTAAATTTTATAAAAATTTACGGGTAAAAATAAGTAAAATATAAAAGATTTTTTTATGTAACAATCCACATAAAATAAATCTGACATTTGCCAGACTATTATAATGATCATTGTAGTCACTTTTTTACGATTGTATGACATTTGGTTAAAAAGTCTGGGTCACAACTTTTCAATGTGTTATGGAAACATGTATGATAATGGACGTTTTATAGGTTGGATTTATATAATTGCAAACCAAACAAACTTTAGGGAAATGTTTTTGAAAAAAATCTTCATTGTTGCATCTACACTGTGAGAAAAATCGATGATATTTATTAAATGTATTGTGTTAACTTTTTATTCTCGTGCCATTTCCTAACAACGGCAATTTCTTAAGCAACAAATTGCTATTGCAATGGATTAACAAATGAAGAAGTTAATAGGAACTGTTATTCAAATAAAATATAAAGGTTTACGAGATAATATTATCATGCTACAACCACAGAATAAAACAATAAGATATAACTGTATATGTATAGATAAATGTTTAATCAGTTAAATTAAAACTGTTCTTTATTATGGGCAAGTTTCAACATAATCTATTATACAACTTAAAAATATCGCATGCTATACGTTTATTATTTCCAGCAAAACGTAAAGGAATTTGAAATAGTAAGTGCAAATTAATCCATTAAATGCTAAAATGTTATGTAACGAAATTAGAAAAATGCACTTACAAGGTCTGATAAGCCTTATGAATGAAAATGTCTTGAGGAAATCAGTAGCGTAACTAAAAATTTTGGGCCCACTTCAACTTTAGAATAAGTATAACTTTTAATACTTTTAATAATATTGAATATTAAGAGTTGGCCAAAAGTTCTGGTTTAACAAATTAAGTAGTCAGTGCCTGAGATAAAAGTAAGATATAGTCAACTGTTCTACTTTTACAACTTTACACGACATTTTCGCATTCAGGGGACAATTTTACATGGAAATTGACTGCTAAATGTTTGAGATATAAATTGCTATTGACGAGAATTATTAGTATTCGCTATGACAATTAGTAATTTTTGACTAATTCATTTTTAGAGAGTATACTAAGATCAATAAAAATTATCATTAGCAAAAATAATAAATCTAAATAAACAATCTAAAATCGACTACCATGATAATTGAGGTTGCTCTAGATACAGTACTTGCGAAATAAATACACAGACAAAACGAAATATTAAATAAATTAAAGATTTTAATTAAATAAATACGATTAACCGGAATTATTTGTATAAATATACATATAATATATAATATATATATTTACTTTTTCCTTTTAAAACAACGCTAAAAATAATATAAAAATAAAAACCACAATTCGTTCTTGGTATACTTAAAAGAAGCGCTTTTATTTATATTAACTTGGTCACATATTTTAATTTTAATTAAGTTTAATTGCCGGAATTTTGCTTACCCAACATACACATACGAATATTTAGCTTAACCCAATTTCACTCTATAATGCAACATTTTAGTCATCAACCTTCGAAACTTAAAAATTGATGTATGTAGGTAATTTGAATTCACCTCGCGCCTAACAAAACTGTTTCGTCAAAACAGGACTTGAAACAAAAAAAATATGGGATAAAATTTCCCACAATTGTTTTAACATTCCACAGGCGTGTTAAAGTTAATTGTTTATTGTTGTTACAAACGACGACATTTTTTGCAGAAAAACCTAAGAAATGACCTCCACATTTCCCAATAATGATGGAAATTTTGTATTGTTTGAATATGAGTGGGTGGAACAATCATTAGTTTTTATTTTTAGTATTTTTTTATCTATTTTACAAATCATGATAAATTAAATAATTTTATATCATTGGTTAATTTCAGTTAATTTTTAATTGTTATATTGTTCTTTAAATTTACAGTGTAATTTGGCATTAAGAATAAGTCTAGAAGCATTAAATCGCATGAACTTGGTGGCCAGTTAACATCATCACCTCGCGAATTATTAAACCAATTAATATTTTTTTTTGCCATTTACATGATTAATTTAATGTTAAATATAAATTTAATTATCAAAAATAAAAATTCAAAAAAATTGAAGGTTCATCATTGTCTTATTACATTACAAAATAAATTATTAAACCAAACAGTACTGCTATCTAAAGAATTCAAAATTGTTTATTCATAGATATCCTTATTTAACCGATAAAAAACAATCGTCTCCGGGTCGTAAATAGCAAAACAAAAGAAATTTACGCACAATCAGACATGAATGTCACGTGCAAACGCAGAGCCTGAAAAAGGAAATTATCATTCAATAAATCGCAAACAATCACAACATAACTCCTTATTGGATAACTGTTTTTACCCAGTTTATTGCTCTTCAATAAAACGTTATTTTATCAAGATAACAAAATTTTATTTTTATTACAGATAAAACATAATGGCAACTCAAGTCAATACAATCAGTTGGAGTAAGCAACACCGACCTGTACTGCACAAGATTTTAGACATCCCCAACTTTTTAAACGTCAACAATGATTACGCTACCGTTATAACGAGTAACAGCCATATTTACTCACAGAAGCTCAAGCAAAGCCTGATGGAGTCCAAGAAAGCATTCCTGAATCTGTCTTTGGAGGAGAGCAAAACCGAAGATACAGCCATGGAGGAAAAGAGTTTACCGGGGTGGAACAGTGAACAAAAGAAAGTGCCATCGAAGAAAATCAGCTTCAAAATCAAGAAAACCTCCTCGATATATAACAAGAGAACGCAGCAGAAATTCAGCGCCAACACTGTGGCAGAGCTAACGAAAAAGTTCAACCAGATGATGAACGAAAACAAAACTATTCTCGAAGAACCCAAGTTCCGTAAGTTCGTCAAACGCGTCAACAGCCTCGACAAAAAAGTAACCAGGAAAGCTAGTGTTAAAGTGGCGCGAAAGCCTAGCCTACGAACTAAACCCAACCTGGAAGTTGAAAAAGTGAAAAAACCTATCAATTTAGTGCGCAAAAACAGTGAAAATAAAGCTTGTGTTAGAGCGAAAATAGGTTACCTGGAAAGCCCGCACGTAGTCCCCAAACGTGAGGATAAGCCTGTAAGGCCGAACACTTTGGATTTTGCCGATAACAAGGTTTCCAGTTTTCAGGTATCGCCTACCAGTGGTACCGTCAGAGCGGCCATCGAGATTTTCGAAAGAAAGACTTCTTTGACAAAAGTGCAACCTGAGGAAATATCGCCAACTCAGGTTATCGTTTGTGAAAAGGAAATAATTAAGAATGTTGAAGATACAGTAGAGAGTGGGTATTCAGTGCCTTCATTGACTAAAGTGCAACCTAAGGAAGTATTACCTACCCAGATTAAGATTCTTGAGAATGATATAATTAATGTTCCTAATATTAAACATTCATCAGAAGTTTCTTTGGTAACTGTGGATCATAAACCTATAATGCCAGAAAAAATTATAGAACCTTCCGAAGAAGCATCAAGTGCCAAGCCAACAATTTTGATCAAAAATCATTCCACATTACATTCCAAACTAAATACTCAAAAAGAATTACCCAAGTTGCTGCCAAAACCTAAACTGGATAGAAAGTTTTTCATCAAACCAAAGACTGTTGAAAAAACGATTGAAATATCCGAAAAGGCTGAAGATATTATTGACGAAGTACAAATAATAAGTATACCAGCGGTGCTACCCAAAAGAAGATGCGAATCCTTATACGAAACCCTACAAATGAAGAAGTCAACTTTGGAGACGGTGAAAAGCGCAAAATCGGAAGAAGTCATCAGCAAAACTAAACCTGAGAACTTGATACCCAACTCTTCTTTCCTCTGGAAAGACAAGAGTCCCACAAACCCATACCAAACCTTAATCATAGACAGACAAGCTTCGATGGACTCTGTAGGATGGGAGTTGGTGTATGAGGACTTCAAAACCTGCGAAGCAAAGGAATTGAAAGTTCCAAGTGTTCCTCCTCGACCCCCGCCTTTGGTGAAGCCGGTTATTTCGCCGAAGATATTGAAGAAGAAGATGCCACTGCCCGACGAGAAGATATATGAAGAGTTGAATCCTTTAAAGGAGTCTGATGAGAACTGCCATAGTTATGAGTATTTTGAGCATGGGGACTATGAAGTCGTTGGTACAAAGAGTAGTGATGCTGTTACTGATGATGGGTGAGTCAAAATTGGTTTTTTATTTGGATAATTTGTAATGTGTATTTATTTCATTTAGATACGAATATTGCGCATCACCAACTACAGAGAACATATACGAAGTTTTACCAACCCCACCCAAACAATCGCGAAGTTCCCAGATACAACAAGAACCTCTACCATTACCTCCATCAAGGTAAAAATATATATATAACGGTAAAAAAACTTATGTCAATAATATATTTTAGGCTTTCCTACAGCACAATACAAACTGGCGAAGAAATCTCAAACTGTTACGAATCCATCTACCACCCAGAAGCAGAAAGAAACCCTTCCACAAAAGATGTAGATACCGAGAGTAACTATGAAAGTATTTATGGATGTCAAATAAATGCACTTGATGTGAATTTAAGAAGGGATTACCATATGAACAACAAAGAATTTATTTATAACATCTGCAATAGCGGTAAGCAACATTACATTTGTGGTTTTGTTCTTCCAGTGGACTAACTTTGTGTTTTCTTTCTCAGGTTCTCAACATGGTTCCTCAGGATCAAATAGAGATTCCATAGTATCAGAACAACAAACAAACAGTTTATATGGAAGATCTTTCACCAACTTTTGTTTGGACAGCGTTTACAACGGTAAAGCTAACAGTGATTTGAGCTTCAGTGACAGAAGTGACGACTGGGTGGACGTCACAGATAACGAGGATGAAGATAACAAATCATCAGGAATCATCATGTAAGTTATTTATTAATTTATTACCACCTGCGAAAAAAGATAGTTTATGTATAGTGAAAACAATAATAGTCCCAGTACAGAGCCTTGGTGAACTTCTGGTAATTTTAGTTTATCGAATTTCACTTATTTGTACATTTGGTTGCCTATGCTAAATTTATTGTTAGTTTGTTTAACAAAAGTGAAAGTACTTGTTGATACAACTTACGTTGCTAATGGTTGTATTGTTGGTTGCATATAATATTATTTAGTTTAACATTTTGACGTTTTTTTCAGTGTTAGGGGAAAACATAAAACGAAAAAATCTGTTTGGAGGGAGCATTGCAGGGAGCAATGGTCAAAATCCCCCAGGAAAATTTCTCCAGATCCTGGTGAGTAATAATTTTTGGTTTTACATTTTTGTGTTATTTGTAATATTATGTGGTTTTTAAATTAAGAGAAGATATCCCCTTAACCATATTATAATTTGTTGATTTTTTTAACATCATGCATTTCTTTATATATTTAAACTAAAATGAATGTCTAAAATATGGAATACTTTTTTAATTAAAAAATATGAGCAATATTATTAAAATTTTTAGAAGAAAAAGCCTAAAATTTATTGAAATAAAAATATTAATATATTAACACCGGCGCATTCGCCAATTTTAACAATTTAATTTAATTTAAATCTAATTTAAAAAAGCTATTAAGGGTGTTCTAAAAAAATATATTTGAGGTTTTTAACAAAAAAATATAATTTTGTCGTTTAGAACCCAATAATGTAGATACGGCCTTTTTGCTAAACAAGGCACAATGAAATTTGTAGAAGAAAAAAGCTTAAAATTTATTAAAATAAAAATATTAATATACCACCATTCATCATTTCTTTATATATTTAAACTAAATTAATTGTCTAAAATATGAAATACTTTTTGTGTAAAAAAATATGCGCAATATTTAAGGAAAACATATTTTTCTGGTTAACATTTTTTTATAACATTCTAAACAAAAAAACTTTTTTGTAGATACGGCTTTTTTGCTAAACAGAACAGAATAAAATTTGTAGAAGAAAACGCTTAAAATTTTAACAATTTCATTTATTTATTTAAAAAATAATATAACACCATTCATCATGCATTTCTTTATACATATATTTAAACTAAATTAATTGTGTAAAATATGAAAACTTTTTTGTCAAAAAAATTTTCCCAATATTATAAGGAAAAATATTTTTCTGGTTAACATTTTTTTATATAACATTCTAAACAAAAAAAAACTTTTTGTAGATACGGCCTTTTTGCTAAACAGGACAGAATGAAATTTCTATTTTGAGGATTTTAACAAAAAATAATTTTTTGTCGTTTATAACCTAATATTGTAGATACGGCCTTTTTGCTAAACAGGACAGAATTTAATTTGTAGAAGAAAACGCTTGAAATTTATTGAAATAAAAATATTAATATATTAACACCGGCGCATTCGCCAATTTTAACCATTTCAATAATTTTTTTTTAAAAGCTACCTATTCAGAATGTCCCAAAAGTGGCGTATTTTTATGTAATTAATTACAGGGGGTTAATTTTAGCATAAAGTGGTTTTTAATCCTAAGGTTCTTAAAATTGATTATATTTATTATTTTAAATGTTTAATTAACTTATATCAACCGTGATTTACTGTTTAAAACCACTTTTCATTAAATCAAAATTAAGAAAAAAAAAACAGGTAAAACATGCATCTTATTAATTAATTTAATAATCAATTACAATAAATCAAGACTCGCGATAGTTATACGAAACCAGTTTATGGTATGGTATGGATTATAAGGTGCACAATTTATAGCAACATTATAAAATTTCTATTTTTTTATCAATAGTTTTCACTACACATTATGCAGAGCGATTTTTATTGATTTATGGTGTACTTTAATAAGTAGGTATAGTTAATTTTTATTATTACTACCAGTAGATCAGTAAAGAAGTAATTTAAATGAAATCCAGTACATGGAAAATAAAAACAAAATGATATAGGTAGTTATAGTATAACATACAATGTAGGTATCTTGTTAAAGTAAACTGTAAACTGTAAAAAAATTACTGCAATTAGTGAGTTTTAATGTTTGTTTTATTTTTTGGAAAGTTTTTAAGTTTAATAAATATATTTTAAACAAATAAAACATTTGCCATGACTTTTTAGGCAAAGTTTATAAGCGAGTTGCCCGTGACTAAAGCGCCATAAAGCTTTTTACATTAAAAATAACCTATAAGTAAAAAGTAGTTGATTAAATTGCAAATTGTATACAAATAAATGCATATAATTGTAGTTATAAATGCTTAAATTATTTATTTATTTATAAATGCTGATCCAGTTAGAACTACGTAACGGTTTTATTGTTTGCATATATAAATTTCATTGTTCATGATGTAACATGTTTTCACTTTTTGATTTAAACCAAACAAAGATAAACATCATAAAAAAATATTTCATATTTTCTTCATGTTGTAAAAGCATAACAAAATTAGCATTTTTAATTGATCGATAAAAATTATGGCATTTGATGGACACTTGACAGCATAATATCTATTATCCAGCCAATTAAAGGCACTTCTCGCTTTCAATTATTGAGAATAGAAATCTTGTGAAAGAAACTTAAACGCGCTAAACGCCGTTTTAATAATTAAGAACAATCATATGCCCATTGTGTTATTGAATGGATCTATGTAAAATTTATTTTTACTTAATTACATGTGAAAAATTAGTTTAGAGTAATACTCGCAAGTTTTTGTACAAGGAAATTGTCTATTGTGTTTTATCAATGGTAAACAAGTTATTACAATTTTATGAAAAAAATTCTAAATTATTTTAAAAATCTCATTCTAATTTATCCTTTTGTACCTAATTTCACGTATCATTTACTATGTATAGGGTTCCCAACTTCTATAAAAAACGGACATTTTGAATTTACATTAATTACAAAAATGATCAATGATACAATGTAAATTGTCTTGTACTTGATTATTGTTGATTGTGTCATTTTTATAATAAAGTTCAATTTGGTAATATATTTTTGATGTAACAAAATTAAGAACACATTCATCGTAAAAATCATTTCCGTCAACTATATATTAAAGGTGTTAATTAAACGTTTTGAATCATGGTGTAATGTCGGGGAAAGTCAAGGAAGAGTACATATATGACATTTTTTATTAGAAAATGCTTTAAACGTGAAAAATCACAAGTGAAAATACTAAAACTATTGGCAAACAAATTAACAAACACCATGCACATCTTGACTTTACCGTTATAATAAGCAAATTTTTTAAAGGTAAAGTCCATTCATTTTCAATATTTTTAATATCATTACACAACAACCAATTAATATAGGTTTTAATTGCAAGAAATAATTGATTCACCATAATAATTAAAGTTAAAACGGTATAAAAACGCAAAAACATTTAATTTCGAATAAAAATCAGCCAAGGTTATAAAGGTGATGCAAAATGTTTATTTAAAAGCCTATTTTACACGAACAAGGCTAAAATTCAACAAATAATTTGCATTATTCGATTTAATAGCCATGTGAAACTTTTAAACAATCGAAAAATTATCTAATTTATGTTTTACGTGTTAAATGGATAATAATTCAGGTTTTTTTGGATGTCTAATTCATTAAAAAACAATGGGCAATTTATTTTGTCTTGTTGTTTATTTTAATAATTTTTGCTTGTTGTTTACCATATATGTATGTAGATATATTTTAAAGAGTAGTAAATGCTCCTATTATCGGCACCTTAGCATATACTCATGCTTAGAGAAAAGTGACATTTTGTACTTATCCAAAGTTTTAGCAATATATTGCTAAAACTTTGGAAAAAGTAACTTAAAGGATTAATATTGTAGCCATATGAATGCATCCCTTGTTTGCAAGACGTTGTCAACACGTCGATTAGGACCACAATTTATGGCCCTCCGAAGTTATTTGTTTGTTTATGTCTGGCAGAGAGGCGGGCGACGTCGGCAAGTGTCGAATATACGTTTTTAAGAAAAGCAGGGCATTCAATTAGAACCTTTCGATAGATACACTAGACTTTAGTTTTTGTTTGATTGTTTTATTCTAAATAGTAATTAAAGCTTATTTTAAATCATAGTCTAATTTCCTTTATTTTAAATTAACATAGTTTACAGTTCAGGTGCGGGGTAAACTTACGTGAATTTACGGTTACCTGTGTTTTAGTTAAGTTAATTATTTAGTGATTAGTGTTAAGTTACGTGAGTGTAAAACAAAAAGAGAAACGATGGGCAAAGGAAAACGACGTTGTCGCCCTCGTAGCTCTAGCTCTTCGAGTAGTGATTCCAGCAGCGAATCGTCAAGCTCTACTGATAACAGATACAGACGTACGCGATCTGAACGGGGCTATACTCCACCGAGACGAGACAATAGGCCACCCTCTAAGGAAGGAGCCGGTACACGCAAGCGACAGTTACGCACGTCGCGAGAAAAGGTAGCATCAAGCACATCTCGCGGTTTGAGTTACGTATCAAACAAAAGCGATATTGAAGAAAATACTAGGTCCAGCCAATGTTCGAGCGATACATACGAGGCCAGGATAAAACAACTAGAAACAATAATAGCGGGAATGTCGAATCAAAATCACAATTCCGGAAATCGTAGGTTAGCAGTAAAGAGTGATTGTATTCCTGAATTTTGTCCCGAAAATGAAAATATGTCCGCCGTTAAGTGGCTAGAGAAAATTGAGGAGCTTAAACAAATTAACGATTGGGACGAAGTAACGACAATTTACCACATGCAAGCTCGATTTTCTGGAATGGCGAAATCTTGGTATCACAGTTTAAGTTCGATACGACATACCTGGCCCGAATGGAAAGTTTTAGTTGCCAAGACTTTTCCCGACCATGTCGATTACGCTAAGGCCCTTAGGAAAATGTTAAACAGAGAAAAACTGTTAACTGAAACAATGACAGCATATTATTTCGGCAAGATGGAATTATTAAGAACTTGTCAAGTAACAGGAAAGAATGCAGTTTCATGCATAATAGATGGTATTCCAAATGCCGCTATTCAAAATGCTGCTCGTGCGGGTCGTTATGACAAACCAGAGAAACTTTTTGAAGGATATTTATCAATGTTACGTGAGGAAAGTACCATTGAAGTATCGACACAAAAGACAGAGGGTTCGATAAGGCGACCCCCAAAAGTGGATTTACGTCATTCACTTACACGTAATAGTAAACCGTACGCAAAATCAGATGTTTTAAATGTGAGATGCTTTAACTGTAAAATGAAAGGTCATTTTCAGTCAAAGTGTCCGAAACCACGTGTTAGTTGTTCAAAATGCCATCTGTTAGGACACGAGGCCGATCGTTGCACTGT